TGAAAATTTCACTGAATGTTTATATTGGCATTTCCTATACACCATACAATTTTGAAAATATTTTGACTCTTTTTGAGCTGTTTATGGACATTTACAGCTTTCAATTTTTTTTAGTTTTTTTTTCTATAAATATCAATAAAGTTTTATCTGTTGGGCCAAAAAGTGGAAAATTTTAATACAAGGCTCCTGATATATTGTTACAATAGCAGTTGAAAAATATTAAAAATACATAGGCACAGTTTTTTTTTATAAGCATTTAAAGATCAAATTTTGACAAAATTTATCAAAATCTCGAAAATTATCAATCATTGTAATTAATAAATTATAAAATGTTCAGTTTTTATAGCTAAGGATTGCAAATTTTAAACAAAGGTTCTCATAAATAGTTCATACTGTAACCAAAAAATCTAAAAAATATATGAACACAGTTATTTTTTATAGACATTTTAAATTCAAATTTGGACGAAATTACATATTAAAAAAACCTAGAATAACTATTATAGTTATTTTGTTGTGATTGAATAATATTATTCGTGGGTACTTGAAACTTCTAAAGTGTACTATTATATATCTATGATAGTATCACGGTTTTTGTTGATGTATAACGCGTTAAAGTACCTAATGGACATTGTGATATGATTAATTTGGAATTTATTATAGGTACCTATTATAGTTCAATTTTTTGTTTAATACCATAGATATGTATATAATATTATAATATATCTTATACATAGACTGACATACCGTCTCCGCTCAGAATCGTTTTTCTTATACAATGATATTATATCGTTGAATTCAAATTTAATATCATCCATTATACAGTGACCCACTTGTAACCTACTGTACAGCAGAGCGACACCCACTTGCCCACCTTTTTTGTGTCTGTCATCACGTTTTAGGACAGTAAAAGTGCTTGGATTTTCTTCAACAGTAGCTTTTCTGATAGGAAAGTGAATCTAGTTGGTACTTTGGGGGGTCAAAAGTAAACATTTTCCAGTAGTTTTCACAAGCGCCGGGAAAAACAACATAAAAATTAAGGAAAAACGGGAATTTTTACGCAAAATCTGTTTTCCAAAAAATTGATTTTGGTTTTTGGTGTAACTCTAAAACAAATGAACGTATATACATGAAATTTCCACTGGTTGTTTATATTTGCATTTTCTATACACGATAACATTTTCAAAATATTTTGATTTATTTTGAACTATTTAGGGACATTTTCATTTTCCATTATTTTTATGTTTTTTTTCTAAAAATATCAATAAAATTTTATTTGTTGGTTGCGAAAGCTTGAAAATTTAATAGAAGGCTCCTAGTATATTGTTTCAAAGGCAGATGAAAAATATTAAAAATCCTTAGTCACAATTTTTTTTTATAAGCATTTAAAGTTTAAAAATTGAAAAAATATGGAAAAATCACGAAAATTAGCAAATTATTTTGAGTTAAGAATTCGTAAAAATTTTTCTTTTGAAATCCAAGATTTGAAAATGTAATACAAGATTCCTTATAAGATTATCTACCTTTATCAAAAAAAAAATGTCTATAAGAAAGTCGAATTAAATTTTTATGAGCGTTTGAAATTCAAATTTTTACAACATTGGATATTCACTAGCTCGATTTCTCATGTAGCGATTTCCTTTTTTTGTTGTAACTCAAAAACGAATAACTGTAAATACATGAAAATTTCACTGAATGTTTATATTAGCATTTCCTATACATCATAGAATTTTGAAAATATTTTGACTCTTTTTGAGCTGTTTACGGACATTTTCAGTTTTCAATTTTTTTAGTTTTTTTTTCTATAAATATCAATTAAGTTTTATCTGTTGGCCAAAAAGTGTAAAAATTTAATACAAGCCTCCTGATATATTGTTACAATAACAATTAATTGAAAAATATTAAAAATACATAGGCACAATTTTTTTTATAAGCATTTAAAGATCGAATTTTGACAAAATTTATCAAAATCTTGAAAATTATCAATCATTGTAATTAATAAATTATAAAATGTTCAGTTTTTATAGCTAAGGATTGCAAATTTAAAACAAAAGTTCTCATAAATAGTTCATACTGTAACCAAAAAATGTAAAAAACATATGAACACAGTTATTTTTTACAGACATTTTAAATTCAAATATGGACGAAATTACATATTAAAATCAATATTAACGATCTTGGTTTTTCGTTGTAATTTAAAAATAGTATTCGGCCATTCGCGGATATATCATATTATTCATATATGATACCTAATGGATATTGTGATATGATTAATTTGGAATTTATTATAGGTATCTATTATAGGTCAATTTTTTTTTAATACCATCGATAAGTATATATTATAATATGTCTTATACCTAGATTGACATACCGTCTCCACTCAGAATCGTTTTTCTTATACAATGATATTATATCATTGAATTCAAATTTAATACCATCCATTATACCATGACCCACTTGTAACCTACAGTACAGCAGAGCGACATCCACTTACCCACCTTTTTTTATTTTATTTTATTTATTTTTATACAGTGGAATATGCAGAATTTTTTAATGGGGGGGGGGTCTTGAAAATTAGTTACAATTTTATTTTTATTTTGTCCAGTTTAATAATTTCAGACGTTTATTTGAGGTATTTTAAAATGTTTGTAACTTCTCAACTTTTCTGGTAGAAAAAATTCTCTGATCATAAACTTAAAACTACAAATTACAATGCCCGATGTATGATTTTGGAAGCAAATTGGATCTAGTTAGTACTTCTAAAGGGTTAAAATTGAAAATGCTCAGTGCTTTTTAAAATAATTGGAGAAAAAAATGAAAATTTGTTAAAATTGTTTGGTAACCACTAACCAGCTTGGTTATACCTTCCTCACTTGGATTGTATTAATTGATTAATTAAACATTTTTTTTTCCATAAATGTCAATAAAAAATTATTTATCCGGTCAAAAAGCTTAACAGTGTAATCCGTACGTTTTTATTATAGCTAAAATATTAATGTAGGCATCATGGTTATTTTTTTATAAGCATTTAAAGTTAAAATTTCTTCAAAACCCCAGTTAATTTGTAGTTCAAAACTTATAAAATATTATGTATAGATTTAGCTAATGCTAGACAATTTAATATAAGGTCTTTCATGCAAGTAGTTCATACTTTTACCGAAATATTACAGATAATTTTAGGAAAATTGGTATACAAATACAATGTTTTTTTCAAAAATGAATTCATTCTGGTAAGACATATACGAAATTTACGTCGTGCTTACTACAGTTGACAGTTGAAACTTGATAAATATTTTTTTTTAAGTAATATAATACGGGCAATGGGGAGGGGGCTTTAGCGCGTTAGCCCCCCCCCCCCTGCGTACGACAATGTTTTTATATATCTGTGACATAAACATACCTATTATTATTTATTTTTTTTAAAATCATTAACATTTATGAAATTATTTTTTTTTTATAACTATAAGTAATAAAATAAGTAAGAACAACAAGTAAAAAAAAAATTATACTTTTACTATTTTTTAATTTTTTGTAAGATAAGATACATTTTTTAATTCATATTCAGAAGCAGAATATAATGTAGGTACTTACTTACTTTTAATGGTATACCAATAAAACCAGAAAACAATTGATTTTTTTTAAAGATCGAGGTACCAATTTTAGATAAAAATATCAAAATTTTGTTTTTTTCATTAGTTTGATATTATTCAAGTGTGTATTCGTATTCTGAATTTTTTGAAGAAATCAGTTTTTGGCTATCGTCCTACTCAGAAACCAGAACACAGATTACCTTTTTTTTATTTGTGTAGCCTAACCTAATCTAACGACTAACACTTAGTACTTACCCTACTGAACCACTACCTAACATTCCAAATTATAGGAAAACGCTGTTACTTAAATATAGATCTAACTGATCTAAGTATTTATTATTTGACTATTAAGGTAAGATAAACGGTTAATTGGGAGACGGAGTGGCCGAGTGAACTAAGGAATCCGTTGCGAAGCACATCGAAGCCGGTTCGATACCTCGGCCATGTGCGATATTTTGCTTCGAGAACGGAGAAAGTCACAGTTTTCGAGAAAATTGATTTTGGTTTTTGGTGCAACTCTTAAACAAATGACCGTAGGCAGGCCCGTGCGCAGGATTTTAGAATGGGGGGTGTTTTGAAAAAAAAAATTTATAACATCAATAATCAATAATAATATTATAACATATTTATATTTATTATTAATTTTGTAAGTACCTATGTTAAATGTGTTTTTTAACAATACCTACTATATAAAATACAAAATAACATTTGATAAACCTTTCCCAGTTACATCTGCTACAAAGCTTAAAAAATCTTCACGTATTTTTAATTTAGCGTAATCATTATTTAAATACCTTACACATATTGAGACTTGTTCTATGCCAGCAATATCGGCAGTTTCATCTGCTGTTACTGAAAAAGCTTGAGATTTATTGACTCGTTCAATAATCTGTTTTTGAATTAAATTATGAAATATGACAATAAATTCGTTTTGTATACGGTTACTGATATACATGTCATTTTTTGAGGAATTTTGCAAAAAAGTATTAAGCTGATCGTCAGTTTTTGCTCGATATCTTAAAAGAGTCCGAAAATTAAAATCGTTAGTTAAAGGTTCTTCGGAGGTTATTCTCCCTGAATCATTTGAACCACGAAGGGCCAAACCCTACCGACCACATAATATTAAAGTTTCGATTATAGGAATCAAACATTTTTTACTTTCATTAATGAAATTTAATTGTTGTTCCGAAATTTGTAAATCAACTGGTAAAATGTTTTGGTTATCAATTTCTGCTCTCATATTTGATTTTAATAATGAAGTTTTATGATACTCTAGTGAGTTATGGTAACTAAATGATCCTAAAGCTTTTTTCCAGTTTGTAAACGGTTTTTTAACTAACAGTCCCAACTTTTAATGTCCAATTCCTCCACTGCCGACAGAAAACAACACACAATACTTACAAAATACGCCATTCATAATTGCTGAATAAGCAAACCATTTATATTTAAGCAACCAACTTCTTTGAAATTTCTTTTTTCGGAAACAGGAAATTTATAGTCTTCTGGAGGAGTCCAAATCAAATTTTGAAGTCCCGGAAACAAGTCAATAGTTTCAGTTGCAGGTTTATTCACATATAATCCTATGTCATGTTGGTGCACAATCTCTGGAAGTGACACTGCTACATTTGTTTCTGGAGATGCATTTCTCGCTGGTTCAGTTGGTTGTGACTGGTTATTAAAACTATTTTCCTGTAAATAAAATGTAAAAATTAATCAGATTAATTGAATAATTGTGTTTATAGATTTAAATATTGCATTTAATAAAATGTATTATATAAAATATTTCGACAACAATTAACAATAGATTTAAAATCACGAACGGGATGACTATATTATGTTCTATAGCATACGCGAAAAATAAACATACCTACCTCTATACTATAATAGTAGTTCAATTTAATTTTTAAAAATTATTTGAATTATTAGTAATTATAATTAATTTTAATGTACTTACTATCTCATCATTTTCTAGCCGTGGTTTTTTGAAAAACGTTCGAATGTCCATTTTGATGTTATTTCTAACGGCGTGTTTGTATAACACTATAACTAACGTCTCACTGTGAGCTTATAATCGTTGTGTATGAACTATGATTATAATTTATAAACAACTTTTAAAATACCCGAAATCCGTTATCGTGTAATCTCGTGTTCTACTAATTGCGGTCGAATAAAATATTGTTGTGTGGCATGTATGCGCAGTATGCTCTATACGTCTTATATTCATCTTAGATCATATACTATGGATGGAGCCACTGCATATTATTTTGAAGCCGATATTAGCGACGAGTCACCGAATTAGGTGATCGATATGCGCATGCGCGAAACAACTCGTTTAATATTAATATTATAACTGTCCCCATCCCAGCCGAGTCACCGAATTAGGTGTTCGATATGCGCATGTGCAACGCAACCTCTCGCATATTTATCAGCTGGTGATTATAATATTAATATTAAACGAGTTGTTTCGCGCATGCGCATATCGATCACCTAATTCGGTGACTCGTCGCTAATATCGGCTTCAACTTTTTGTATTGCTATAATACGCAGTGGCTCCATCCATAGTATATGATCTAAGATATTCATACATTTATTGTCATTATATTTTATCGATAACGGCAACGATTACGAAAGTCGATAAACAGCAAACATGAAGACAACACTATATTATATTATTATAGTATTGTACTATTATGTTATGCATTATTATTTATTACAAATAAGATTAGAAAATATGATATATAGGTAATAGATTAAAAATGAAAAACACGATTTTTTCAGCCATGGGGGGGGTTTGACCCCCCCCCCCCTTGCGCACGGGCCTGACCGTAGGTACATGACATTTAGACTGAATGTTTGTATTGGCATTTTCTATACACGATAACATTCCAAATATTTTGAGCTGTTTACAGACATTTTCAGTTTCAATTTTTTTCATTTTTTTTTTTCCATAAATATCAATAAAATTTTATTTGTTGGTTAAAAAAGCTTGAAAATTTAATAGAAGACTCCTAGTATATTGTTTCAAAGGCAGATGAAAAAAATTAAAATCCATAGTCACAATTTTTTTTTATAAGCATTTAAAGTTCAAATATTGACAAAATACGTAAAAATGACTAAAATTTGCCAATTATTTTGAGTTAGAAATTCGTAAAATATTAGTGAGGGCCGAAACAGCAGAGTCAATCTCAGTGGGAGTTTTTAAGGATAATTTTAAAGAAATGTTGTTTTCAACGATGTGCGAGAATTGTTTCTAGTTTGTTTTACCTGGAGTAAGAGTTGGGTAATTTTTTTCTGGATAGTTTGATTGTTTAGGGTAAGGAAGATTGGTATATGGTCAGATGAGAGGTCGAAGGAATTTTCTATTTCGAAGTTGGTGTGGTTAGGTAGTGTATGTATGAAAAAATCAAGGAGATCTGGGGTTCTGTTTGAATGAGTAAGCCAGTAGGTTGCCCGGGAGGCGATAAGTGCTTAAAATTGTTGCTGAGAAGTGAGTTAAGCAAAGAGTGACTCCTGTTTTTCCCGTTTTGTCTTTTGAAAACTACTTAGGAATTTTTACTTTTGACCTCCCAAAGTATTAACTAGATTCACTTTCCTATATTTTTAATGTCTTAAATGTTATGACAGACACAAAAAATCTTTTAAAAAATATAAATAAAAAATTCGAAACACATATCATTGTAAAATCAATACATTTATCGCTCCACTCAGAATCTAAAAAAATAAAGAAAGTAGGATATATGTTATGTGTGTTTTTTTATTTTTGTGTCTGTCATCACGGTTTGGGGCAATAAAACTGTTTCGATTCTCTTCAACAGTATCTTTTTCGATGGGAAAGTGAATCTAGTTGGTGCATTCAGGAGGTCAAAATTTAAAATTCTCAATAGTTTTCAAAATCACCGAGAAAAACAACAAACAAATTAAAGAAAAACAGGAATTCATACGCAAAATCCAATTTGGTGCGTTGTATATGTAGGTTAGGAGCACTATAGCCTTTTTTGGCAGCCATCTAGCGACTTCCGCTGTTATCAAATCGAAGCCTGGTGATTTATCATGTTTTTTACTTCGTTGGGTGTGAAATATTTTACAGTGCAAGCGGGTGGTAGTGGGAGTTTAGATATCTTTCAACATTTTCTAAGTTGAAGCGGAATAAGAATATCATTATTATGTGGTTGGAAGGTTTCAGAATTTCAGATAGACGAGATTGAAATACAGTGGCATTTTCGTTATCTGTGATAGCTAAAGTATTGTCTGCATTTTTTAGTGGGCACGATGGAGTTTTGTATTTTAGCATTCGCTTGGTTTCTTTCCAGCTTATTATGATCTCGGTAAATGGTTAAGTTACATTAATTAACAATTTAACACAAATATGATAATATTTAAAAAACCGGATGTCGCTCTGCTGTACAATAGCCAATAGGTTACAAGTGGGTCAATGCATAATGTATTGTATTAAACTTGAATTCAATGATATAATATATCATTAAATAATAAAAACGATTTTGAGCGAAGATCATTCATATTATTCCATCTTGTCAGTTGTCACTACTATAGTACTATTTAGTAGTTACTACTATCACAGAGTTATTCTGTGCTTATCACGGGGCCCAACTGCCCCCATCCCATTCTGTGCCACTATCAAATATCAAGATTCGATGGCCGTACTGAAAAGAATATTATTGATTATGTTGCTAAGGTGCCGTCTACGATAGTACGATTACATAGCTCAATGATAGTATTCTTGTCTATAATCTATATGCATTGAACATTCGTACTAATTCGTTTATTTTCATACGACATATTTTACAGTGTACAAATAACTAAAGTTAAAATTAAGGATTAACAAGGTTTTACGTCATTAACCATAAATCTCGAAATCTGTTACTTATTGTCTATGTCATATTTTGATTATTTATTTACTCATAAATTTATAATTATTTACCTTATCAAGTATTATCACAACTCACAAGGTAACGCACTAACTAACGTAGTAACGTGCCTCTCATAGATTAAAAACAAAAAAAATATGTTATTCTTACTATGCACTCGAATCTCAAATTATTCACAGTCATTTGCATTATTTGTACAATTTGTTGTCTTTTAAGATAGTTAAACATTTCATAAAAAATTGAATTTCATTGCAAAATATAAATCAAACATGAGTCATAATCAAACTGGTATAGACAATTTTAAAGAAAAACCAGAAAAAAGGATTCAACAGTTGTTGATGTTAAGTTCAAAAATCGAGTTGAACACAAGTATAGCAGCTAGAAAGTATGATTTTGCACTATATAGTATATACATGGTTATACAGTATAAAATACAATAATTTTATTTTGTTGTAGATATTACCGATCTGGGCGAGAGATGATCAGTATGGCTGATGTGTATACTAAAGAAAACAATTTGGAACAAGCGTATATTCTTTACATGAGATTTATGACGTAAGGTTTTAATATTTAACTAATTACTACTTTATTACTACATTTTAATATTAAATAAGTGCTATTAAGATTATAAAATAAAGAAAATATTAGGAAATATTCCTAAATTTTCATTCCATATTTCAATCTATTAATAAAATAAAACTAAAATGCTTCACCCATACAAATTTTGATGTTTACTGAATTCAATTTATAACTAATTGCACAGTTTCAGAGGACATTGTACCCGCTATGTTCTCTCCGTCTTACACACATACAAATTTTTGTTCATCAGTTTCATTAGTGGGCAACAGTTTTGATATTAATATTTTACTTACTCATAAGTCATAACTCACTTAAAAATTAAAATAACATCTGCGGTACAACGTCCTCTTAATATGATAGATTTACCAGTTTTAGTTTGGTTGATAACTGTTTTTGTTTATTTATACATACCATAAACTTCATTTGAAAAAATTAAAAGAATAATGAGTTTGGTTGTTTTTAAGGAATGTGAAACTGGAAAAAAGTTTTTTTTTATTATAAACTTACCTAACATTGCATTATTTTGATTATTTAATAATTTAATAATTTTTATTTTTACTTTAGATTATTTTTGGAAACTATAAATGAACATCCAGATTACAAAAATGTACCAATTGAAGAACGTAATTTAAATTATCGGGCACTCCGTGATGTCCTTCCAAAAACAGAAAATATAAAAGCTAAATTATTAGAACAATATAGTACAGAATATGAGTTGTATCAAGAGCAAAAAGTAAATATAATTTTAAGATAATATATTTCTATTGAACACTCATTTTCACATACAGTACAATTACGTGTTTTTAATAACAACGCCTAATTTAGTCTCTTTGAGTCAATTTTAATTTTAGCGTCATAACTGTTAGATCAAATTTAATTGAATTAAAATATTCATAATTGCACATAATTGCACATTATAGGTAGGTCCAGTGACTTATGTATTTACAGTTATTCATTTTTGAATTACAACAAAATAAGGAAATTCTACATGAGAAATCGATTAAACGGATATAGCTCTAATAATTTTTTTTAATCAAAAATGATATCTTAATAATAGCCTTTAAATAAAATAAACGAGATTTAACATGGGTAATGGTTTTGTATAGCCCCGCGACCCCCGCCATCCGTTTAACAATAAATACATTGTATAAATGTAAAATAATGAGTTCATTTTTTGATTCCATAATAATAAAAATTCAATGACATATATAGTGTGATGTAATATTAAAAAATGATAATAAATATATCATATAAGTAGGTATAAAACAATGATAAACTAAAAAATGTATAAAAATGTTTATGGTTTCTCTTATGATCACTGTATTGTTAAGTTTTGATCGCCACATAAATTCTGCTATGTAAGAGTCTAAAAAATTTCTATCAGCATTCATCTACGTTGTTTGTTGCTCAATTTAGCCGACCACCACATTCTCTCGACATTTTGTGTGTATGTTCCTGAGTTAGGGTCCACGAAATATTGTATCTATGATTAACTTGATTTTGTTGAAATCCATGTTGTTGCAAATTATAATAAGCTTTCCAGCTGTCAGAAAAAATTGTTGAACCATGTCTAATATATCAGTTAATGATAGGTATCAATGTAACTTCTGATCTATTTGGCACACTAACTATGAAATATTTTTTGATTATTGATTATTAGATACCTCATAGTAACGGTACATATTTTTCGTTGAATTATTTCATATTTATACTATGTATTTATTGTTATATGGATGGCGGGGCTATAACAAACCAGTACCATAACATGTGTATAAATTGTTGCCTGTTAGTAATTTTTTATTATCTTCCTTAAATATAATTTTCTGGGAAATTTGTATTTCATATTTTCATATATTTTATATAATAAAACAATTGTATTATTATTGTTACATAATATATCTAACAATCTTTATACTCATAGGCATTAGAAGAATTTAAAGAAAAACGTGAACAAAAAGTATTAAATATAGAACAGAGTAATACACCACCTAGTAAAAATGTCGCTCAAGAACATTTAAACTCAATCTTAGATAATTCCAAAGTACCTGAATTAAATACTCCTACATCATTTGAATTAAGGTAAGTTTTAATTTAAACAAAATTGCATATAAATAACATTTCAAAAAATATAAATTATTATTATCTAATTAAAATTAGGCCTAATAAAATCAAGCAATTCATAAAAATGTATTTATTTGAAATTATTTCCAGACAACCAGATCACAATTTAATCAATTTTACTGAATTGAATGATAATACTTTAACTTCAAATATGCCTACATATTCAAATTCAAAAATACAATTCAATCAGTAAGTAGTTATTTTTAATCTGACACTGATTATTAAGGTTGAAAAATGCATTTCAGTGTCATATTATTTTAATATAGGATACAAATATATAAACAATATTGAATATATTAAAATTAGTTTATGTTTATTTTAGTTGTAATAGATAATGGCGGCTTTAGGCTTTGAAACCACTTTTTATCTTTTTGCTTTAAATATTATGATAGTGTATTTATTATTAAATTTATAAATATTGACATTTTATAAGTACAATAGTAAAATCATAATTTCTTCCATCTTTATTTTAAGATTTTTATACAACTATTTAATAATAAATCATTAGGTCTTAGAATATTCTGTTTAAGTAAATTATTAACTTATATTTAATATTTACTATTTATTTTTAAATAATATTAATAAAACATTTTCCTTACTATACTTAATATTAAAAGTTGTGTTTGAAATAAACTATTTTTTTAGACATAAGCCTATTGTTGATAGAAGTACCAAACCAATGTTGAACAAGAACACTTCAAATCCATATAATCTTCGCCAAATAATAGTCCCAGGCAATTTAACTAGAAGATTCCTAGAACAAGCACAACGTAATACATCTAATAATTTGGAGACTTGTGGTATATTAGCAGGAAAATTGGTAATTTAATTTTTAATTTTTCTTTAATAGTATTGTAGATTAATTTTAGTTTGTTTGTATTTTTATGTTGAGTTGTATAGTACACATTTAACAAACATTTTCATTATAATAATTATTAGAGTTCTAACTGTTTAATCGTGACTCATTTGATGATTCCAAAACAAAGTGGTACATCAGATTCATGTACCACGATGAATGAAGAAGATATTTTTGAATTTCAAGATAAGCAAGATCTCATCACCTTAGGATGGATACATGTAAGATTAATTGGAAAATACAAATTATCTAATTAATAATATAATTAAGGCCCGAAATTAATTACTTTTTTTTATAATCTTAGACGATTATTTTCTAGCTCTATATTTAACAATATATAAATCTAAATATTTAGTGAATTTTGCATTTTAGATTCTGAACAGAGCTATGGATGTGTTTTCTTTTTATTATTTTTGTGTCTGAGAACACTTTTTGTAAGAGAATAATACTTTGATTTGAGTGTTGTTTCTGGTAGAAAATTGGATATAGTTAGTGCTTTAAGGGGGTCTAAAGTAAAAAATTCCAAATACTTTTCAAAACAATAGGATAAACAAAAATTTTTATACAAAATCAGTTTCTGTTATTACTCAAAAATTAACAACTATAGAGAGTTGAAATTTTCACCGAATATTCCATACTAGCATTTAATAGACATGAAAATATTTTGGGTATTTTTGTGCTATTTAAATGTTTGCTTACATTTGTTTTGGCAGAATTTTTGATTTGGGCCCCCTTAGGTTTTTGCCATGAGTGCCATGCTTGGTTGGGGGATGACAGCCCGGAGAGAAGTGCTGCCAGATGCCAGTGGCAGAAGTTCGAACTGGCAATGTTGTGCATTGCAACCGACACCTTAGTCCGCTTGGCCACTTAGTCCCCCTTAACATTTTTATATCATTATTTAACATTTCTCTTAGGTCATTAACTTTTGAGGTCTTATCTATTTTAGATTCCGAGTGAAACGATGTATGTATTGATTTTACAATGATGTGTGTTTTTTTATTTTTTTATTTTTTTATTTTTTTTTGTATCTGTGTACACGATAAGTAGTCGAAATAATGCTTCGATTTTCGACTTCAGTATCTTGTTCGATTGGAAAGTGAATATCGTTGGTGCATTGGGGAGGTCAAAATTTAAATTTCGCAGTAGTTTTCACAAGCGCCGGGAAAAACAACATAAAAATTAAGGAAAAACGGGAATTTTTACGCAAAATTGATTTTCCAAAAAATCGATTTTGGTTATTGGTGTAACTCTAAAACAAATGAACGTATATACATGAAATTTTCACTGGTTGTTTATATTTGCATTTTCTATACACGATAACATTTTCAAAATATTTTGATTTATTTTGAACTGTTTAGGGACATTTTCATTTTCCATTTTTTTTTAGTTTTTTTTCTAAAAATTTCAATAAAATTTTATTTGTTGGTTGCGAAAGCTTGAAAATTTAATAGAAGGCTCCTAATATGTTGTTTCAAAGGCAGATGAAAAATATTAAAAATCCTTAGTCACAATTTTTTTTTATAAGCATTTAAAGTTCAAAAATTGACAAAATATGGAAAAATCACGAAAATTAGCAAATTATTTTGAGTTAAGAATTCGTAAAAATTTTTCTTTTTAAATCTAAGATTTGAAAATCTAATACAAGATTACTCATAAGATTGTCTACCTTTATCAATAAAAAAATTTCTACCGGAAAGTCAAATTAAATTTTTATGAGCGTTTGAAATTCAAATTTTTACAACATTGGATATTCACTCGATTTCTCATGTGGCAATTTCCTTTTTTTGTTGTAATTAAAAAACGAATTACTGTAGATACATGAAAATTTCACTGAATGTTTATATTAGCATTTCCTATACACCCTACAATTTTGAAAATATTTTGACACTTTTTGAGCCGTTTACGGACATTTTCAGTTTTCAATTTTTTTAGTTTTTTTTTTCTATAAATATCAATTAAGTTTTATCTGTTGGGCCAAAAAGTGTAAAAATTTAATACAAGGCTCCTGATATATTGTTACAATATCAGTTGAAAAATATTAAAAATACATAGGCACAATTTTTTTTTATAAGCATTTTAACATCGAATTTTGATAGAATTTTTCAAAATCTCGAAAATTATTAATCATCGTAATTAATAAATTATAAAATGTTCAGTTTTTATAGCTAAGGATTGAAAATTTAAAACAAGATTCCACGTAAGTAGTTAATTCTCTTACCGAAAAATCTAAAAAATATACAATCACAGTTTACTTTTATAGTCATTTTATGTTCAAATTTGGACGAAATTACATATTAAAAAACCTAGTTATTTTGTTGTGATTTTATAATATTATTCGTGGGTACCTACTTGAAACTTCTAAAGTGTACTATTATATATATATGATAGTATCAGGGTTTGTTGTTGGTGTATAACGTGTTATAAGTACCTAATGGATATTGTGATATGATTAATTTGGAATTTATTTTAGGTCAATTTTTTTTTAATACCATAGATATGTATATAATTTGTCTTAAACCTAGACTGATATACCGTCTTTGCTCAGAATCGTTTTTCTTATACAATGATATTGAATCATTGAATTCAAATTTAATAGCATCCATTATACAGTGACCCACTTGTAACCTACTGTACAGCAGAGCGACATCCACTTACCCACCTTTTTAAGTGTTAAGCATTTTATTTCTTAAAAATTCTTTGTTAATTAAATTTTTAAGTATCTATTATTTATGTTTAACAGACTCATCCATCACAAACCTCATTTATGTCAAGTGTAGACTTGCATACGCATTATTCATATCAATTAATGATGCCAGAAGCTATTGCAATTGTTTGTGCGCCTAAATATAATGAGTAATATTATTTCATTGTGTTTTGTTAAATATTTTAATTTTAACTATATTATTTTCAGATCAAATTTCTTCTTTTTGACGCCTTATCATGGCTTACAAGTTATAGCTGATTGCAAATTTTTCAGTGGTTTCCACACACATGACACAGAGGGTGATATTTATGCCGTATGTATTAATCTATTATTATTATTGAATAAGTGTTTCTTATATGATTACCTAGTACGATTTATATTTTGTATTGAATCACCAACTGACTGATAAAAATTTTAAAAACACAGGTTTTCTTTTTTATGTACTCAGTTAGTGCAGAAAAAGAAATATTTTATTTTTATTGTAATATTATGGTCCTTGAAACATGCTAATGTATTACTGTGAGGCGATATAGAGGACTAATTACATTAATGACCAATATTTATCATCAGTGGCCCCAAACTCGTGCTTCTGGTAGTTCAATTATATTCCCATAATCATTTTTTGAAATAATAAAGTATACTTCCAATTTTTTCCACTTAAATTTTATTTAACTCAGTAATGCCATCAAATTATATATATAGAATAAGTCTATTTCATGGTTGTTTTAAGGAGTTTAGTAGGTGGGTCGATCAAATTATTTAAACTGCCAGTTTTATTTTAATTTGGCCACTGTTTATCATAGTTTTGTTACTATCAAGTTAAAAACTTAAAAGTGTATTATATTTTATTTTAGATTGCTGAACATTATGTATTGGATGAAAACCTGCTGGTCAATGTGGTTGATTTTAGATAGTAAATATATTACAGTATTTTAAACATTTGTTTAAATATTAACTAAGTGAAAAATTTAAATAGTTATCTATTGTATGTTCTGGCATAAAATATGCGTAATCTAAATTACTCAACAAATTTCCCAAGATTCTCAATAAAATAAAAAAGTGTTATTGTGAATTAAAATAAAAATAGGTTGTTTCTCCTAATTTTTTTTGTGACTTCAGGTTCATCTATGTATCCACTTTTGACTTTTCACTAATTTTCTTTGTTTTTTTTTTTCTCTGCATAAATTCTAAATATTCAATATTTATTACTGTTTTCTATTTTTCTGATTACTAAAAATCCAAAGCTAATTATAGTTGTTAAACCATTTCAACATTTTTTAACACCGACACAAATCAAAAAAGTCAATCAAGTTTTTACCAAGGTTTTTACTTAGTTGCTTAGAAAAAATGTGTTAACTGAATCAGATTTAAATATGTGACATCAGTGGCGGCGTGAACTTATTTTTTCAATGACGCAGTAAAAGATTTTAACACCCACCCACCCTACGTTTTATATCAACACCAATATATATATTTTTTTTATTTATTTTTTTTTTGTTTAAATTAATATCGAAAGATTAATGGGCCTCATAGGCCTTACAAAAAAAAACATAAAATACTAAAAATAGATGCAGTAATATTTAAATTGTTTTCAATATACATATAGGTATATAATATGTGTATAAATATATAAATTATAATACATATATTATAATTATTCATATAGATATTTTATTATATTTTTATATTTATTTGAATAATAATGACTTTTGTAAAAGTTCACTTGATTGAGCATATGTATCAATCACTTCATTCATGTCGACATGGATATCCTTTTCGCAGCTTAATAGCATTAAACTTTCAAGTCTTGTCTGCCCCATAGTTGATCGCAACCTTGTTTTTATTAATTTGACCTAAGACAGAGACCGTGGTAAAAAATTGTTATCGCTCGCGATTAAACAAAAACGTTTCATAACGCTACGTAACATGATCAAAGATGCGTCCGATGTAGTTTTATAGCTTCTTTAACATCTATTGTCCCGTTCACTAATGCTTATGTAAATGTTTAAATGTATTTTATATTATTAATCGATGATGTTAAAATAAGTTCCTAACTTCTACTCAACTCCAGTCTCCAGATGTCAACTTTCAACACTTACCCACCACCCTCCACCAATTTTTTCGTGACGCAACTGCGTCAAATTAACCCCGTTCACGCCGCTACTGTGTGACATAATATACTAAAATCTTTTTCCTTATGCATATTGTAAACAAAATACTCATTCTAAAATACTGGTATCTAATATTTGCTGTTATAGGTAAAAAATTCTTTATGCTCAAAAATGCATATACCTAGTATTCGTCATAGTGGTCATACCTTTATAAGTTAATTACTAGTGTATCATAGGCGTGAATAGGGTTCATCTGCAGCGGCAGCCTTACTAATAACTGGCTCTATCTTAATCTTCTTACTTAAGTCCATCTTCCAAAAGCGGAAGTTTGGTGACCCATCAGTTGACGTTGACAACAATTCCTTTCCAAAGCTCATGGTTTTCTGCCGATTAAATGGCCTCTCCCAGGGATAGCCAGTGATGGTTTTGATCTGGTCTATCCAATGTATTGGTATTCTTCCACTGCTTATTTTCCTTCAATCATCAATTTCTCCAGGCTCGATTCAACCCTTCTTATGATGTGGTCAAAGAACCTTAGGATCCTCTGCTTACACACCACTGCCAATCTTGTTTCCACATTTAGCATGGCCAGAATTGAGAAGTTGGTTCTCCTTGTGCTACCTTAATAATGAACTGAAAATAAGCCCTAAACACCCAAATCCATAGTTTTAATCCAAAGTCTGAATTATCTATTTACAATTAATAATCTAAGTAGATAGTAATTATAACAATACCCACATAAAAGATTTTTTCTTTTTAAACAAAAGTTGTAACCTTTCTAACTTAAAACTCGGTTGACTGGTCCCTTCGAAGAATTGCAGAGGCAGCCCAGGCACCCAAGGCTGCGGCCTAGACACGCCTATGTAGTATATACATGTTTCATTTAATTGTTTTCACAATCTGAACTATTATTTTAAATTTTTATAAATGTTGTATGGATTTACATCATTGGAAGAAGAAGTAAAGAAACAGAAACTTATCTTCTCATAATTCGGTGTTGACTTTCAACAGTCAACCGATTTAATACAAGGCCAGATTCAGACGTTTAAGTCATGAAGTCCAAATTGCTTTTTTAATACCTATCTACCTACCCATTATCTGTACTCTGTAGGAGATGTTTACTTGTTAGGTCTAGTTTTTAATGACTTCCAACAAGCCAGTAAAACCTACACATTTTTTCTTTGATACTATTGATAATTGAATCTTTTCTGGAGAACATGATGTTTTCAATTCAAGCTAAAATCAAAGTAAAGTGCATACCCTGGTATTTACTTCAAAATTTGTGTGATCCAACAACACTAGCATATTCATGGTTTTAAATGAAATATTTAATTTAGCACTATTTATCTTCAATGTCCAACATTTAGTCCATTTTAAGATATCTTTGATTGAGTTCTGTGTCATCAAAACATACAGTAGGTAGTAGGTACCTATAACTACTAAAACTAATTCAGATTTTTTATACCTAGTATTTATTAAAACTTGGTATTTGTTGATTCTAAGAAATTTATCTTGTTCATTAATTTGAAATAAATATTTGGTAATGATTTATTTTGATTTTTACTTATTAATTATTACACTAACTGTTGATTAATAAATTATTTTCTATATTTATGTATTTATGTGAATCTTTATTCATATACATTCTTATTTCCTTTATAAATATTTTAACGATTAGGATTTAGGACTGCATATTCTCTAAATAGAAATTAAGCTCAATATAAAAAATAATTTTGTTTTATGAATAATGAATATATTTATAATTTATACAGAGTAATTTTTGAAAGAAATACTAAACCAGTTGATTTTTAATACACTTTTTATTTTATAATTTGTTTTAACATTTTAAATAATACAAATAGGACATTTGTTAGTGGTTGTTGATTGTTATTGATTTATTTTTTTTAATGTTAGACAAATTTCCTTTTTATTTAGTACTTTAGAGACTTATTTAATTGGTTTTTATCAATATTATATCAAATAAGTACTAACTAATTAATATAAATATTGAAACCAATAAAATCATTTAATTTTCTAGTTATCTTTAAAATTTAACTAATTTGTATTTAATTCCTGTATACAATTAAAAAACAATATTTATACAATAAGTAAATTCATTTTATCAATTGATGTACTTATTATTTAATTTCTGGAAGTTCTGCAAATATTTGTATGAATTATATGTAATAAAATATGTAACTGATTCTAGAATAAAAATAAATATTTGTTTAAAACTATTTTTAATACATCCACATTTTACTTATTAATTACTTATATAATATAAATTATGTGTAGTATAGTTAAGTTGAATTTATATTTAGTTATTATGTTAATCAATTGGTAATAGTAAATATAAAAGTGTTAAGATCCCTAATTAGAATACATACGATACAGATAAACAGATAACAGATAATTCTAAGTTAATAACATTATTACTATAAAGTATGATAAGGTAATAAAGTTTAAAGTTTTAATACAAAATACATTCTAATTTTATTAAAACTTACTAAAAAACTTAATTTTACTACTACTCAAACTTTATGGGGGGGGGGGGGTTTAAGCCGCTAAGGGCGCCAATCCTTCTAGCGCCGGCCTTATTGGCTTTTTAGTCTTGTCACAAAATGTATTAGATAGTACTTACCATCTTAAATTTTGTTTTATTGCTACGTGTAATCTATTATGTGTTTACAATGTTTACATTGCTCCCGCCGCCTCCAACAAATAATTCACGCTTCACTAGTCTGGTTATTGCAACAGCAAATCTCGAGAAGATTTTGTTAGAAATAGGTACCAGGCTGACATGGGTACTGTAATGGATGCATTAAATTTGAAATATAAAATCATTGTACACGAAAAATGATTCCGAGCAAAGATGGTCTGTCAACTGTCCAACTTTACTGTCAGCCTACTAAAGTATTGCTGGTTTGAGAGCAGTTCAGCAGTTATCCTGAATGACGGCGCATACCATTGTCTATTATTGGGTAGGTGGAAAAAAAGCCCAAGGAAATAAAGCCCAAAAAAAGAAATACCCCGAGCAAAAAAAGCCCAGAAATATAAATATAAATGTGAACCCATGTATACTGTACTCCTAATTAGTAATTACCATACCTTACCTATAGGCTATAACAAAATATAATAAGGGGACGAGGTGGCCGAGCGGTCGAACACGTCGTCTGTGGCGCTGGCAGTCGCGGGTTCGATTCTCTCGACCACTGGGCGGCATTTTTCTCTGGGCAAGTCACGGTGTCCGAAGAACAAGTGCCGCCATTCCCCACTCCGGGGCATGGCAGAAACCTACGGGTGCCCCAATAGAAATTCTGCCAAACACAACACACACGTGTAATAACCCTACAATTTCAAACCCTACTACCTACAATCAAGCTAATGGCCATAGTCGCCGGGCTTTAAAAAAGATCAATTAAAAAAAAAAAAAAATATATAATAATATATTATATATTATAATGAAAATAATAATTTATTGTTAATTGTAAAAATATAGATTGTAAATAAAAAAAATATAAATATGATCACAATATGATATATTGTGTTACAAGTTATAAGTAAAAAAACATAAGTCTTACATACATACCTACATACATACATACTACTATAACAGATAATAATCATAAATAATAATAACTAGTAAAATATAATTATTGAACTATATATCATATATATATATATTGAAAAATTTTAATGTACCTATAATATTAGTATGTATAAATATAATATAAATAATCATTGTTACTCTTCGTTCCATTGAAAATATTATAAGATCTTTTTCATTCCTCAAGATTAAAGTTTATATAAGGGGTTTTATACTGCTATGAACCACTGATGAACCACCTGTCAATAAATTGCATTTTTACTACCCAAATATTGATAAGCCTTTTGAAATTTAATTTAATTTATATTGTTCGGTACTTACCAATATAATTTAAATGTATACATATATTATATAAAATTATAAACACTATATAACCAGTCAAAATGTTAAAATATATCAATAGCTGGGTAATATTGACACTTCATTAGTACTGCATTACTTGGTTGTTGAGATACTATCTACACATCCTACTAGTACAGTTTTATCCAGTTATAAATTTGTTTTACCAATTTTTGTGACTGGAGATTATAAAATCAAATAAAGGTGGTGACAAATTATGTCTCAAAGGTTATGTATATGTTGTAAAGTATATTGGCATATCAAAAATATGTGGCCTTTTTTTCCGTGGGCTTTTTTTCCTTGGTGTGTTTATTTTTTTGGGCTTTTTTTCGCGATTCCTATTATTGATATTTGATGACTGATTTAGATATGTGAAGAAATTACTGAACTGCGTTATAACAATTTGGGTTTTCGAGGTAGACTTGGCATTTTTACGGTAATTAAGTATGGTAAAACTCATACCGTGTGTAAATTTTCATAAATTTTGGTTAAGCTTTTAGAGTTGGGATAATTCTGTGACAGGTAACTCGGAGATGAAATTCTATGGGGCAACTGGAATTTAGTACTAAGTATTATATTGTCACTTGTGGAGTTTCACCCCATTCAACTTTGTTCGCCCATTTGCTCACACTACGGACGCTATGGCTCTAGTTCAGTAAATCAACGGTTCAGTAGTTCAGGAAATTAGGAAGTAGGTATGTATCCTATATTCATAAATATATTTTATAATATTATTGCTATTTGCTATTAAAGTAATTAATTTTACTTATGATAAATTACAATTTACAATACTAGTAATACAGTAGGTTGAATTAAATTTTTCCCAAAAAAATTGCTTTTTAAAACGTAATGTTGTGAATAAAATATAGTAATATACTTTAAAATTTTCAAATTTACCCACGAATAATATTTTTAAAATACAATAAAACTACTAAAATTGTTATTTTTCGTTAAAATATCTAATTCCTTCCAAATTTTAACTTCAAATGTCTATAAAAAAAACTGTGTTATAAGAGTACCTGTGTATTTTATGTATATTATAAATATATAATCACGATTCACGATGTAGAGAAGATAATAATTAAATAATATTATATTGGTTACACTCGTTACAGCATGACAAATTGATTGTTAAATTTGTTATGGGTTAAAATTACAGCATGATTAAAGATATTTATATTATACTTAGTGTTTGAAAATTTCATGAAATTGAAAAAAATGAAATATTTCAATATTTTAATAAATTTTGTTTTATTTTTTTAATAAGTTTTATATTTACATATAATTGTCATAAATTACTTTCATAATTGTATGGTGCCTATATGGCTATATGTATACAGTATACCTAACCTTTGGTATTCAAAATTTTTAAATATTTAAATGTTTAAATGATAAAAGTGGGTATACAATATTATAGATGTATATTGTTTACCTACTGAATTCTTACATATTACATTAGAATTTAGAACACTGAACATTGTATTAAAAAAATAAAAAAATAGTGTTTTTAATTGTGTTAAAAAAAATGTCAATGTTTCACGTTTTGTGAAATATTTCATCCTTCAAATACTAAATTTATACCATATTCTATGTTTATACTGGTATTCAGTATTATTCTGTGGTATTATTATGATTAATATGATTAATGATTATATTGAATATTGATGAATGATGAAAATATACATTGTTTAACTACATTAATTTCCGGTTGGGCGCTAGCTGTTCTTCTCGCAGACCGTCATCTAGGGTAAATACTGGGCAATCAATGGCAATTGCAATCCGGCCATGACTGAATAAATTATTTAGTCATGCAATGACCATCAAAATTAATGCCCCGTTGAGAAACCTGTATATTATTTTATTGTTCTTAATACGTCACATCAGTACACCTTGTTTTGAGCTTAGCACAGAATAAATTTAATTGTTAACCAGTTGATTAATATTATCAGTTATAAATACTAATTATTATCAAGGGAAGAACTGACCTCAATCACGTCATCTACTTTCTAAAATGACAGGGTAATTATATGCATAAGGTACGATGTTTATAATATTATTATCATAGATATCTCATCTATGATTATTACGAAGTTATCACGAAGTTATTGCTATTTGCTACTAAATGCTACCTATCGCGGCACAATCCATGAAAGTTATATTGTTACAAAATATGTATACTAAATACTAATCTATGCATTATATTAAATAGTTACAGTGCCTAATACAATAGTGAAGTATTTATTATTTAATATTATTAACTATTTTAACATTTTTATCAAGGTTTTAAAGTTGTATTGATTTGTTGACAATGTATTAATCGAACAGTGAACTAACGAGTTCTGGGTAACTACTAACTTGGAGACATGTCATGGCTCATAGACTTGGCCGGTAAAGCTGAACATTATCTGGATAAAATCGACCAGAACACAGCGGTAGTCCTACAACATCAAAAGGAAAAGCCGCTGAAAGATGTTTTCAAGTACTTTTTCGGATTCAGTACATTTACTCAATAAAGTATGCACATAACAGTATGTCCTAACAGTATGGTTATTTTTTTTCTTTTAAGAACACCGGTATCGGAAAATGTGTCAATTGAAATCGAAAATAAACCCATTACATCTGTACCCAGTTCGCCTGCCACAAAGTCATTGATCAAGAAACCTAAAAGTGATTCTCGCATATCAGATGAGCATCTACTGCAGTATTTAAATAGTCATGACTCAACGATCCAATCTCAAGTTTGTTATAACTGTTGCTTATAATTTATTATTTGAATCTAACAGTATGTAATCACACTTAGTATGAGGGACAATCTACTGCTTACATCGATAATTCAATTGATCCAATATCCAAACCGTTGACCGAGGAAAATCATATGTTGAAAAATGAAATAAGAACGTTAAATAATGAAATGTCATTATTGCAATACAAGTTGAAAACTGCAGATAAAGGTAATTACTTCTACTGATGAATTTCCTTTTAAAATTCATTTTATTTGTACAATATAACTGTTTACAGATATTAATCAAATATCAATGGAACTTGAAGTGAATAAAAGACATTCCGCTAATTTGGAGAAGGAACTGCAGGAAGCTCATATACAATTACGAAATGCTCAAGATGTAATGTTCCGGTTGAAAGAAAAATCTAAAACCCGAGATTCAGTAACTGGGGAAAATAATTTAGTTTCTGACAATAATTTAGTACATGAAAACCAAACTTTACAAAACGAAATATCAACACTACTCAAAAGGTAAACCCTAGTACCTGTAATTAATAATATTTTAATAATTATTTATTATGTACAAAATGTGTTATTTTAAATTTATAAAATTAAAATATTTTAATATTGTGCAGAATTGAGGTGGATGAATTAAGGATAAATGATTTAACCTCAGAAAAATTAAATCTGGAAATGGCACTTAATAATATTCAATTTGAAAATAAAAACACTGTTAAAAAGGAAATACTAACAAACTTATCTAGTGAATGCAATACAATGACTGCATTCACCAAAACAAATTTGAACAATGTTGCCCAAAAACTAAAAGAGTGTTTGAACGATTTAGAAATTGTTAATATACAAGCAACTGCTGATCAAGGGTAACAATTATTATTTAATTTGTTTTCCATAATAACACTATTATCTTAATAATTTTTAAAATGTTTTAAGGGCTTTAAGCACTTCAGAATCAGAACGTTCAGACATATTAACCAAATTAAATGCCATGAAGAGTAATTTACTCTCTATTGATTGTGGCTTACAGAAGTCACTACACGATCTTAGTGGTTTTAAAGAACGGCTTGCAAATATTGATTTAGAATCGTTTACAGATGATAGTTGTAATAATCATGCAGACATAACTAATGGTCAGGGAGTAATGAATGAGCAGATGTTATCACTTAAAAAGGCTGTGGCATGTAAACAAGCTGAACTGGAACAAGTATTAGCTGAAAATAACTCGATGGCAATAAGAATTGAGAGTTTAGAGGTATGATTTAAGAACAATATTTATGACAATAACTTTTTAATATCCCATTTGAATAACTATTCTTAAATAATTTTAGACAAGATTGAAAAAAGAGACAAATGTAATAATCAATGTTAATGATACAGATGATGGTAAGAATTTTTTTGCTAATAATATTGTCGTTATGATTATGCAATAAAGATTTTGATTTTAGCTAAAGCCAAAGTGCCTCATTTCATGTTAGAAAAAGCATTTGATACTAGTGTAGCAAGAGGAGTTAAACGAGCTTATACCAGCCTAGATTCGTTTGGTTTAAGAACAGGAATGTATTTACGACGATATCCGCTATTAAGAACTATATTATTTGTTTATGTGGTGAGTATTTTTCAATATAAATTATTGCCTACTTTATAAAGTTGTAATGGTTTTTTTTTTTAGTTTATATCGGGGTTTATATATAATTGAGTAAATAAAAATTTTTTGTGGCATGTATTGTATATTATGATATACAATATTACAGCATTTTTAGCTTCATGACTTAAATTTCTAAAATGAATCAAAAATATTTGAATAATTTAAATGAAATAAAAAATAAAATTAAACTAGTTTAATTTTTGTGTCACGCAATATTTATTACCATTTAAAGCACAAGATATTGTCAACAATAATAACAAATTAATAATAAACAGCTTTGATTAATTAATATTTTCTATTTACACTTTACAATTTAACATAATTATTAACACTTCTGTAAATACAAAAATATTTTTTTTCTAAAATGTATATTAAAATATGTGGGCGTTTTATGTTATGTTGTATTTTATATGTAATGTACATGTTACTTTGAAGTTAATATGAAAGAAAACAATGGAAACTGTTAAGTGGCTGTGTTGTCTTTGTCTAACAAACATAGCAAACTTGCATTCAGCTGAATCCATTTGCCTTGTTAGTTTTAATATAACAATTTAACCTATTAAACCTAATAAAAAAAAATTAACGTAAAATCAAACTTAAAGATCATTTTCTGTGTTTGTACATTTGTTTTTTTTTTTGTGATATTTTGTTAGATTTTAGTTAAAATATTTTAAGATTTAAATCTAAGTAAGATATTAGGGAAATAACTAAATTTACTGTAATATTAAAACCAACAACATAAAATTATTTTGAGGACTGTTGAACGCAAATTTAACTTATTTTAAGATGGAGATAACAACCTGTATGATCCTCTTAACCAATTTTAATAGGCATACAGTATTGACAGTATTTTGTTACTGAGTTGGTTGTAATTGTTTTTAAAATATGTATACCTAAATTACCTATATAATACATGCAACCAATTTTTCAGGTGATACTTCATTTGTGGGTGATGTTGATACTATTCTCTTATACTCCAGAGACCAATTAAAATTGCCTTTATACTTTATTATTACTGCAAAAATCTGTATAATATTCAACTACTCAATTAATCAAACACTCATATTATATTATTTAAATGTTATAAAATTAATAATACCTATGGTTTTTATTTTATGTATTTTTGAATATCATTTATTTAGAATTATATATCAAGGAACAGTTTTATTAATTTATTTGTTTTATTTACAATGTTTCTATCCTTACATACTTATCATAATAATACTAAATCAGTTATTCCCATATGCAATTACACTATAAAATTTACCAAAATATTAAATTAACACATTATAATATTATACAGAAATCAAATAAATTATAATATATTTATATCATACAATGATACCATTTGTTGACTTATATACGACAGGTTATTAATTATACCGAATATAGTGAGGCTTTGAAAATATAAATCAAACAATAATAATTTTTACATATTGTTATAGTAACCCTCAATCAAGCATTTATACTTGTCAATTAGATCCGTACAAGAGAAAAATAATTTCAAACTTAATTTTGGATGATATGCAAGTCGGAAACTGATGTAGGTATGATTGTCTAAAGTCTTAGTTATCAGTGTTGTCATTGTATTATACATTTTTCTCTGGTGGTATGTTTCAATTTGGTTTGATTGTCATTCAACATTCTTACTTTCCTGTGGGTCAATTGGTATAACATAGTTTTTTGGTAAATTTTGTATGTATTTGATAAGTGTAATACAATTTAAGCAAAAAAAAAAATAAATAAATACAATTAGGTCTTTCTTAAAATATTCACATAATTATACTAAGTACATCTTAATTTTTACTTAAATAAATAATAACCTATCATAATAATATTATTATAGATAATAATATACTTTTTATAATTTTTCTCATTAAATTCCAAACTATAAAATAAAAAATAAATTGTCTTAACAAAAGATTTAGAACTATATACATAAGAGTACACTCCGACTTGTGTTTATATTTTTATAATATGTTATTTAATCAGTTTTAAAAACGATTTAAACCCGTAATGAGCAAAAAATAATATTAAAATGTGGAATTACTTTGTCAAACATTTAAAAAAATAAAAATACAACTTGATAGCGTGAGACAACGGAAATGAAACGACGAGGGTTACACAATTTTAGGTCCATTTAGATTGAACAGTATGCAAACGGACAATGCTTGGTATTTCTGGATCACAAAATTCCACTACTATTTATCTTTCCTTCGTATTATAAATCTTTGGAGGTAACTTCCACACTCACAACCATTTTTTTCTTTTATTATTATTTATAATTAATTAAGAATAAGACGTATATTAGGCATATTGGTAGTAGGTACCATATACAATATTGAAAATTGGAATTTATCGATTAAATTCCAGGAGTAGCTACAGCCCAGACGGCGATGCGCCTATCAGAATATCCTAACTTATAAATGCTCATTGGTATTTGGTTTATTACACATTTAATTCAGTCTAGATTATTAAATAGTAATAGAAAATAATTTAGCAATTAAAATGTAATTTGTTCGTTATAAATATCACTGGTACGCGTGTATAGTAGTGTTGGACGATATTTGTCTCTACCCGATGTTTCTATAACATAAATACACCTATGTACAATATATTAGAGACCACAATTATATTTAATACTTAACAGTTAACACCGTCGCATGGTATAAACTATAATAATCATAATATAAACAAATACCTATACTACTACTAATAATAATAATAATAATAACATTTAAATGAATACCTAATTAAATAAAATTTTAATATAATCGACCTATATATACAATAATTCCTTATCTTATGTGCGAGTGGTATGTGTGTGTGTTTGTGTGTGTTGTCTGTTTTACCGAAATTAGACTAAAAATTAGCTCGATGTGACTGCAGTGACATTCTCCTCCTTCTCTTCCTCCTCATCATATAGGTACGATGATGACAAACTACTATTCCTCAGGAGCAGCTGATCTGACGTTCCTCTGCCTTTGCCTGTTCTGAAATTGCACCACTTTCCGGTGCAACGCCGACAGCTTGTGCTCCAATATTTGGTTGTGGTGAAACAGCGTCATCGTCTGGATGGCAACTAGCAACAGGGCTTGTCTCTTGCGTATTGCGTTCAATTGTTCTTCGGTTACCGCTGCCACAGCCTCCACGTCCGATGATGAGGGTGATCCGTTATCCCGTCGCAGTAACCTCTTCATGTCATCCGGCTACAACAACATAAAACCCATAGTTAATAAATTTATATGGGTACTGGCCACTGGGCATTGTATGTTATTTTGGTACCTATACAAGTATTTTACATAAAGAAGCACATACGTATGTCATGCCTTGAGGCTTGAGCACTTATCCCTGTTGCCCAAATAAGATAATGTTAACTGGGATAAGTACTAGTACCATTAGTAGGTACCTTAGTATTATAAATTAGTACCTAATTACAATTTATAATTTTACAAAAAAAGTGTAAAAAAAAAGTATTATTTATATTTAATACATTCAATTTTTGTGATTTTTACTACCTACCTATATTAGTAGATGTCAAATTAATGTATCGAATTTTAAATGAGTTAATGATTAAAATTAAAATTTTAAAGCTCAAAGCTCAAAATTATAAAAAACCATTTTCAAAGAACTGTCCCAAGAAAAAATCACTAACTTAGCTATATTATTTATAGAAAAAGAAATTGCTGATTTAAAAAGTAGGAATAGGTTAATTTATAGTACATTTTTATATTGCATTAAAGGTACCAATACTATACGTCTTATACCTACTATATATTTTATTGACATTAATTTATCAATATTATTATAATAAGACGTAATAAGCAGGTATTAGTCTTATTATTTAAGTTACTTATTCATATTGTTTTGGGTACTAATCACAAGGCACCATATGTTTAGGTGTTAAGTCTATTTGCGTCATTTTACAAACATTATATCATATAATATGATATATGCAACTGACGATAGTGACATTTTAGTCTGCCCTGATCCCCACTAATCGTCAGGAAGTTCCTGCAGCTAGCCATCAATAAATCTAATTTACCAACGTTCAAATCAAATATTTGATGTCAAATTAGAATAAAGCAGCGCCGTAGTGGCTATGTACGAACAAATTCAATTTGTATAGCTACTACTAGAATATTAAATGTTAAAACTGAAGTCGTTAAACGATAAGAATTAGGAAATATTTTGACCGATCCTCTGCAAACGCTGAACCGCCATTTGAGATTAGAGATTTCATACAGTGGCGGATTTGGGGGGGGGGGGTGATTGAGAGCTAAATCACGGTTTTCGCCTAAAAAAAGCGTGCGGTTTTGTCCTGTGTTTTATCGCAAGTGTGAGATTTTATGAGTAAACGAAATCACCCACTGTTCCGCATATTGAACTTTTTTTTTGTTTTTAATTGCTTAGATATCAGTTGTTAGTTGTCACGTAGAACTAAACTATTGAATAAAGTACAGAATTGTAGCCTACTTAATACCAAAAAATAGGTTAATTTTGTTTTCACTCTGAAGTTGTTCTTTATAAGTGTCTGTATAAAGGAGCTTTATTTTAGCAGTATAGCTCCCACCAAAACAAATTCTAAATCCGCCACTGATTTCATACTATGTGGCATGTACCTATAAATAATATTGTGTAAATATGTTTATATTTTAAATAAAGGTAATATTAAACAATAGCTAGATACTGTATAAATATTGCCATGTCCTTCACTGTATACCTACTTGTATAAAAATATAGTTAAGTTATAGTACCTATTGTAATTATTGTAATGAACTATTAATTAGTAATGTACAAATTAGCGACGTTGAAAATGTACCTTTAATGCTGAAGCGTAGGAGGGATTTCTTTTATTGCCGATCGTTGAATTGCGATTCCTTAGACAAGGGGTCCATTGATGGTTAGTTCGAACATCTGTAAATAAAAATATTTTTAATTTCACAATATTCTTTATTTCTGTCTTTCATAGCATTAATTAATGGGTACTCATAACTTAAAAGTATAAGCAATATGATGTTCTCTCAGTTTTTTGAAATTATTTAGGTATACCTAATAAGCTGTCGAGTGTCCGTAGGCTGTGGCCATATGAATATTTTAAAATTGTTTAATAGTTAATAGGAGGTGTCGAGGTAAGTGAATTACATTTTCTTAAAAAATGCTAATGAAATTAAAAAAAAAAAAAAGAGCTAGATAAGTTGATAGATGCCAAATGAATGATTCTTTCTATTATTTCCGCCGTAGTCACATTATTCCAAAATTAACCCTAAATTAATAGAGTGTAAATCACTAGCGGCGACTGATTCGTATACCAGATTTTGGATTTTCAAAGATTACAACAATTTCAATCAACACTAATTAATAGGTATCTATAGTGTATGTTGTACGAGAGTTTCTGTATAGGTTTTATTTAATTAAGTAATAATTCTATGGCCATTGGGAAACAAAGTAATGAATAGATTAATTTTCCTGTTCCATTTTGGTACCGCCAAAGTTAGAACAATAAGTAATTGCAAACATAGTAGTGAGAGGGCAATATTTAACGATAAAGAAATCATAATAAAATCTACGAATTGTTCTTCATTTTTGTTTTTTATGAACCGTATTTCTATAAATTACCTATGTAATTTTAAATTCATTCGTATGAGTAGATAAATAGGTACTGATTATTTGATTACGGTATTTTGAAGTCAAATTAATATATTATAGCCTATAGGTAATACTATATAATAATAGATAAATTATTGTTGATAAGTAGAATAATAAGACTGAATTATTTAGATGAGGATAGGCGCATTTAGAAAGTAAGGCTGTGGGAAGAGAAAAACATTCTTCCCTACTCAAAAAAAATAATTCTATACAATTGAAAAAATAATAAATGAGATCGTTTAGTAGGTTCCAGCTAGTAGGTGCCTTTAAACCATAATTTATTAGGGTGTTATCAATTTTCAGCAATGATGAGTAAGTAAGTGGTAGCCGGTATAGGTAATT